ATGACATGCAGATTTGGGTACGTGACATGTCTACAAAGGAGTCCATGAGAGCAAAGATCTATTAAATTCTGGTCAAAACAAAAGAAACATAAAATAGGGAAATATGACAAAAGACCAGGAAGGCCTGTCCAAATACACAAGAGCAACACTTGCTCCGTGTCCTGAAGTAAACAGACACAGAACCACAGGTCACTAAATGCCCCATCTAAACATGCACCCCATGACCTTATCTGAACTTATTCTTACAGAATACAAAGCAGAATCGTCACATAATAACACATTAAAATGAACTGTTACAATACAATTGGGTTAACTGTGGGTAAAGCAAGGCCACTCACACTGATATATACTCATACTCCAATCGCTATAATAAATAATAATAATAATAAAAATGGAAGTGACAAACCAAAAACCTCAAACACTCAAAAACAATTCTGGAAACCGATGGAGAAAGTGACACATGAAGTTAGAAATCAATCTTTTAGCATGAGAGTGATGATGACTAGCCTATTTTTAATTTATTTACTTTTTACATTAATGAGCTATGGTGCTGTTTAATTATTTAAAATTATGTACATATGTTGTGTATTGTGTTCCATTTTCATTTGTGTGTTTGAATTATATTAGATTGTCTCGTTTCCATGTAAAATAAGATGAATATATACACATACATACATACATACATACAAATTACAGCTTTAATACCGATACAAGCAGACGTTAACCATCGTACCTGTAGTTACCACCAAAGTACCATACTACTATTGTTACTGTGGAAGCCAAAAAAAGAAGGAAAAAAAACAAAACAGTAATTCCATAAGCTTCTTACACTGTTTGGACGAGATGGCATAATAATTTATTATGATTCAGCTTTAACAATAAGTAGTAACCTTGGAAATTCGCCGTTACCATGGTAAAGCTTTATAAGGGCAACCCTAGCAGATCCTAGGCTATTTCTACAGTTTTTCAGCGTCATTGTTTACAGTACAAAACATCCTGGGAAAATGAATGACCTTCATAATTTTGCTTAAAGATTTGGTTTTAAAGATTAAAAATGACTGAACAATTAGAATTAGGCCAACTCACGACATCATTCTATTAGTTACACTAAAAAAAAACAAAAAAAAACGATGACATCAGAAGTGAATATTGAGGGACAATTTTACAAACAAATGTGCACTAAAATGCCATAAAATATAAATGATTGATGTATGAATGTCATCTTACAGACACGAAACCAGAGGCGAACAGTAACTAAGTACACTTTTTGAGTATCTGTACTTTACTTGAGTATTATTTTTTCTGGGAACTTATGACTTTAACTTCACTACATTTGAAAGACAAATATTGTACTTTTCACTCCACTACATTTCTATCAAGGTCCTCGAAGTAGAAAGTCGTTACTGTGTAGCAGCTTTGAAAGTCAGTGGGTGATTTTTTTCTTCTCTAAAACGTGACTTTGTTTTTTTTCAGACAGTTTATCAGTAATCACTCTTGTAGGGTTACATAAAGTGATTTCCCAGCATTTTATGAACACTGACCAGTTGCAAATGTGATATTTATTTACAACAATTCAATAATAAGAAGTTAATATTGTGGTATATATTAGACACAATATTGTCTGATTTTGCTAAATTGTGTATGTGAAAATATTAGCTATAAAGCCACAGAAGAACTGTTGTGCATCTCCTAATAAAACACAATGGGTGTTGGACTTGAAGCAGCACTGCACAGACTGTTCTGTGTGTGACATCAAAGTACCGCAAGAGTGATTAGACAGCATTTTTTAACATTTTTGTTTTGATGTCAAATAAGTCTTGCTGTTATGCTTTTTTGTTAAAGCAGTGTTGCTGTTGTAAAGGTATACATCTACAGTTGTGTTGCTGGGTTTTAAAGCAGGTTTGGTTTTTTTCTTCTTCCTTATCACTCTGTATTTACAGGATTTCACTGTCCACTCTGTTCAAATGTGGATGAATGGCTACATGGAGATATCAGATCTATGTGAGATCACTACCATCCTGCTTTTGTGGGGGTGGGTTGGGGTGTTAAATTTGTTTTGTTTTGTTTTTTTCCTCATAGATTTTTAACATTCTAAAAGCTCTTTATTCCAAATATACTACAAACTAGTCAGTGTATTCAGCAGGTGTAATGTATTCTAAGTTGCTTCAGAAGTATTGCAAGTACTAGTAAGTACAACAATAAAACTTTTGTACTTTTACTTAAGTAAAAAATCTGTCTTTACAACTTTTACTTGTAATGGAGTAATATTTGACCAGCAGTATCTGTACTTTCACTCAAGTAATGGAGTTGAGTACTTTGTCCGCCTCTGCACGAAACTATCACGAGGAAGGTTCTGGCTGTCATTCAATAGGCTATATTTTTAAACTATTTGAAACAATAGGCTGGTAAAAGAAACTTTGTAACAGTGACATCATCCTAAAGTCTCTCCGGTGTTCCGTGAGCGAAGGCAAACCTCTCAACAATGCCGAATAACGACAAACATGTGACAAAAAAAAACAAGGTTAATCTAAAGTGTACGGCCTAAGCTAAGTTCCGCGGCTGTTCAACGCCCTTCGCACCTTGTGTCATGAAAGTACCTGAGGCAGGTGTCGCTCCCAGCCGCAGGTGAAACGAGCGTCCTCAGGATCCTTTCATTCGTTTAAGGAAGGAAAAACGGTATGGATACTCTAACTCCAGTTCCACTCAGTCTGTTTCGACAATGTATGGGCTTAAGCAGAGACGGGAACTTTGTTCAAAATCAAGTCGAGTGCTATCCCTCAGTTGTAAGAGTTAAGTACGACGCTTGGTCCTAAAGCGAGTCGAGTTTGGTAGAGAACATAACAGCTGTTCATGGTCCTACAACCCGGAAAAGTAGGGGTTTCCTTGGGAAATTACGGTGGCCGAGAAGTGCAGAGCAAATCACAATTCTGAAAACAAAATAACAAATTACGAACGCAAATGCAAGTCTAAAAAACAAAATAACAATTCAGAAAGCACAACAACAATTCAGAAAATATTATAACAAGTCAGAAAACACAATGACAAGAAATACCTAAAAGTATTCAACAATAGCAGTTTTCGATTTATCAGTAAATTAAGGTCTGCAGGTAAAATTCCTAAATACTTCCAAATTTTGTTCTAAAACATTTCACACAGTCATTTGAAACTATCTAAAGTGTTTTTTTTTCAAGCGATTCCTCTCAGAATAAAAGATCTATTCAAACCCGAATTGAAACTTGAAACAACGTTTTAGCTGTGTAAATAATACCATTTGAACGTTTGTGGTTGGTGAGATATTTTAATGTTTTTAAAAGAAGTCTCTGAGGCTCACTTATTTGATAAAAATAAAATGTAAACAGTAATATTGTGAAACACAGCATTCTTACGATTTGAGATAACTGCTTTGAGATAACTGCTTTCTAATTTAATGTCATTTATTCCTGTGATGGCAAAGCTGAATATTCATTTACCATTCCATTACTCCAGTTTTCAGCGTCACATATGATTTTATCAATGGAAACATGTTGTTTCAGTGTTGTGCTGCTTAATTGTTTTGTGGATTCTTTGATGACTAGATTGAAATCTTCTGTAATACAGATGTTGTTGTCTGTCATGCCTGATCAAGTCAATGCATCCTTGTAAAAAAAAAAAAAAAAAAAATTTCTTATAGGCTAATTCATTAAAAGTATTAATTTCTAAAAATCTTACTGACCCCAAACTCATGAACAGCCGTGTATAATATATAAAACCAATCTGATAAACAAACACACAGCAACACTCATTTGAGTGTTGTATGTAGAGCTTTATTTTTCTATACAGATTATTGTGTCAATGACACATGGTATGAATCTATATACAAATGTTTCTCAAAAGTACAGTTTCACTAATGCCACAAGATACAGTGATATAAAATGATTAGCGATTGCAAAACCCACCTTAAAAATGCACCGTAACTGCTATATTCTTGAGCCGTGCATCTGACGTCAAACTGTCTATCAATAGACAATCTGAGTCAAACCCAGCAGGAAATCTGTGATTCAGTTGCCATTCCTAACCAGATCTCGAACAAGATATGAAAATAATGATTGGTTGAATTTATGAAACAAGTCATTAATCGATTCGTGTTATCTAATCTGTGTGGACCCAATGTTTGCATAAAAAGCCAACGCTGTTGCATGCTGAGCTGCTAAACTTGTTTTGCTCTCCTTGCCCCGTGGCTCCAAGTGGGATAACACAGCTGTAGAATGTGCAGTGCATGTGCTGCATTGGCTTGTAGATTATACTGCATTTTACCTTTCCATACACTCGTAGGAACACTGCTTATGACACAAAATAATTCTCTGACTCCTTAAAAAGAAGATTAAAGGCTTTCCAACCAGATCACACTTTCATTTCCTTATTTTGATTGATAGTCACTATACAACGCATTTATATACAAATATATTCCATTGAACAAATTGAACTGCATGCATGGTAAGACAGAGATGTTAAAAATCACAAACAGGAAATAAAAGAGAAAAAATAGGTTTTTCTTTCATTCCCCTAAAATTATATATATATATATAACGCGGGAAAACTAATTTCAATTAAACTGGAGTGATCCTTATGAGACTAATCTATTACCCACACTACATTGCTACTAAAGTGGTGGTTGCTTTTAATTTTATATGCAAATCAGACTTTGAAAACACAAACATCTTAGCAGATGTCAACAGATGTATTAAAACAAAGAAAAGACTTTACTGTGGCATTCAAAGTGTTTTCACAAATATATTCCATTGAACAAATTGAACTGCATGCATGGTAAGACAGAGATGTTAAAAATCACAAACAGGAAATAAAAGAGAAAAAATAGGTTTTTCTTTCATTCCCCTAAAATTTTATATATATATATAATGCGGGAAAACTCATTTCAATTAAACTGGAGTGATCCTTATGAGACTAATCTATTACCCACACTACATTGCTACTAAAGTGGTGGTTGCTTTTAATTTTATATGCAAATCAGATTTTGAAAACACAAACATCTTAGCAGATGTCAACAGATGTATTAAAACAAAGAAAAGACTTTACTGTGGCATTCAAAGTGTTTTCACAATAAATTCACAGCGCTATTCCTCATTTCAGCATTTCCCGTAACTTTAAACAAGCACAGTGTTGTGATGACCTTGATGTAGGGAATGGACATCTGAACATGTGGTATTGATTTTAGCTGCATACCTACAGTTGTGACTGGAATTTACGGGAATCAGGACAAGTTCATCTATGTATTATGTTAGCAACAAAATATTTGCTTTTTAATGCAGCATGTCTATAAAATTTTAATTAAGTGCTTATTTGTGATTTGTTGCCAATACAAAATTCTTTAAAGTGCAAATGGTCAATTCTCAAATCTCTTTTACAAATAATTGAGCTTATTTGGTCCATTTAGAGGTTCGGGGAGGCTCATCCTTCCTAGTTCATCCAAGGCAAACACAGACTGTTGCCCTCAGACATTAGTGATCTCTATGCTCGAGTAACCGTGCATGGGACTGCCCTTGGTCCTCTGCAGGATCTTGATGCGATCTTCTCTGGGTGGTGATCCACAGCCGCCTTGAAAAGTCAAGTCTCTCCCAACAGTGACCAGTGGATTGAATCTCAAAGGGCTCTGAGAAACGACAGAAAGGTTATTTATCCTTTTACAGATCATTAACAATAACAGATAGGCGCACAGACGAAGTCCACCATTTGTCTTGATTTTGTTTTGTGTCAATAACAAGACAGCCCATACCTTGCCGACTTTTTGCCTGGGAGAAAATTCTTCCTCAGTTTTTCGGCAGTTTGAGACAGGAGAATGTGTAGGAGTCCCCTCTTTCCTGTAGTCCTGAGCCTGGTTAGTTCTGTACAGAAATAGGCCTACTCAGTCACACTTGTTAAATCAATGCAGCTATTGTTCAGCAAAGTGATCATAACTTACTAAATAAATACAAGCATATGAAATACTGATTTGAGTTGAAGTGTAATAATGATGCATATTAAATAAAAGCAAATTATAACAAATTAAAGTAAATTACAGAAGGCTATTAATAAATATATATTTGAAGTTATTTCGAGAGTTTAAGGCATTCTTTTGTATTGAAAAAAAAAATCAAATAATTTTTAAATGCAACAAAACTTGTAGCAACTTTAACAAATCTACATTTGCTTAAATAAAACCTACCAATAATTGTATATTTTATTATTACACAAAAATTCAACATCTTTGTTTTGCATAAAAAGACCAAACTTAAAAATGTGACGTTCAAAAGCAAATATTCTTTGTGACTAACAAGCGCATACATTGTGTCCCAAAAGCGCTTAAAAATATTACAACTGTAGCAAAGATGTTCACCAGTGATGTGAAAGTAGCGCCGGTTTTTTTGGACGAGATATCAGAGATATCAAATAGATATCTGATATCAAAGATATACAGTGTTGCTGTGGACTACAGCGATCGTTGGATGGCGCGATTGACCAATCAGAATCGAGTATTCCGAAGTACCGCGTAAATTGGCATTTGAAATGAGCGATAGAACGGCAAAGGATTTTGAAAAGTCAGTAGAGCTCCAATAACTATCACTTGCAATTTAGATTGTTATATACTGCTAGACTATAAAATAGTCCTTATGACTATACTGAAATGAAGCTTCACACACCTTGCGGGGTTGAGAAGCACTTTCATTTCCTCGTATAGATGACGATGGATCATGTGTTTATTGCTGGGGATGTCTAGAGCCTTGGCCATGGTGTCTGCACTGAAGGTCGGATCTAGAACCATCACTGCACCGTGGATGCCACTGTTCTGAAGGCTGTCAGCATACTCCTGCATAAAAGACAATTATTTCAACAGGTTGGACATTTTATCAGATATATTTATACAATTATACATTGTTAAAAATGGTTTAAGTATCCAAATATGTATTGGGAACTCTGATATTCCTCAGACACAAGTTTGGGGTTGTCGTAATGGCTGTTGAAAATTCAGCTTTGCCATCTCAGGAATAAATTACATTTTAAATTGTAATAATATTTATTTTGAATATTTTTGATCAAATAAATGCTCCCTTTGTTAGCATTAGAGACCTCTTTCAAAAACATTAAACATCTTACCGACCCCAAGCTTTTGAATGGTAGTGTACATTGTATGAACTTTGTATTACCTTAAGATCAATGTCTCTGATCCATTTAATGACACGGTGGCTGGTCCAGACCACCGGATCCAGATCTCGATTTTCACACTGAGCACGACGTGCCTGTATATTCTGCAGAGAAGTTATGATATTTTACAATATCACCAAAAAACATTTTATATTTTCAGAGTGAATGCGACAGTATATACAAAAATTCTTGCCTCTTTGTCAAAGTTGAGCATTTGCAGAAGCTGAATGGCTGACAGAATGCTGGTAACATGGAACTTGGTGACGTTAAAGATGGTCTCCAGGTCTCTCCGTGTGATAGAGTTCAGTACTCTGCCATCCACCAACTGGTTGTGGAAGACCTGTGAGTATTGGGGAAGCCCCACATCGCCCAGCCAGGTCTTAGACACCCAGTGATGATCCATATCAGCAGCTTTGGAAAGTCTGAGGGACACAAATGTAACACAAAATCAGTGCCAATGCAGTCTAATGTGTGCCACCTGTGTGCTTGTGCGTAGGTGTGGCCGCTCACCCCCGTCCATTCTCTGCTTCTCTGTAGTCCTCAATAGCTAGACGGAGCTTCCTGCGGTGCATTGGGCTGTTGATGCCCAAACCCAGCTCCAGATCCTCATCTGTCAACCCCAGCAACACCTGCAACAAGAAGCAGCTCGCGGTGACATCATCACCTACAGATGAGTAAATGTTGCAAGTTATTCCGGTTAAACTGAGTAATCAGTAACTAGGTTAACGTCAGGGCTCGTTGGAAGCATCAGGGGAGTAAATATTTGTTGGATGTTAAGATAAAGTACTAATTAGCAGCCACAGAACTGAAAATGTTATCTTAGAATGTCACTTAATCAAGGAGAAGTTTATAAATGGCTCGTTAGTTGTGTTTAGACAATACAGGTGAATCACTACCGGTTAATCACAGTACATTAAGTTTTCTGAAATGTTGTTTAAAAATGCAAACAAGGCATTATCTAATTAAATTAGCACTGATTTGCATACATTTCCAGAACAGAAATCTGAACACTGGATAAAGCCAGGTTAAAAATTGTTTCATTTTGTTGACATATTAGAGTTAATGGTTTTTATAGAAGGGATTTTGGATATCTGATTTTAACACTCCAAAAACCAGAAAATAATGTTAACAGGCAGAAAAAAAAAGTTGAAATGGAAATCTACAGACCCAAATAGAAAAAGTATAATAAAATAAACTCTTAAATATGTATTTTATGTCTTCTGTCCAATCTCAAAATTGAGCATGTTTTGCATGTAGTACCTTGCTTTAAAAAAGGGCTGAAATAAACGGCACAATAAAGAAGGTAAGAATAGGCAAAAAACGAAACAAAACAGCATTTACCTTTCCACTCTTGACATTCTCTGAACAGGCACGCATGTACATGGGCATTGCCATGACAACCTCCAGCCAGGCCTGCACAGTGACTGCCTTCCACAGAGACATGGGTTTGCTGCGCGTAAGCTCCGCCTGCTGTAGCCGCTCCAGCTGCTCCTCGCCGTCTGATAGGCTGGGATGGTTCTGGCTGGAGAGGCTGTCTGAGTCTGGATTGGTCAGGAGGGGCAGGAATAGGAGGGGGGCAAGTTTAAGGGGTTCAGAGGGGTTGAGAGCAAAACAAAATCGCCTTATCCATTCTGCACATGAAAGCTTGTTTATTGCTGTCAGGAAAAGCACCCACCTCCATATCCTCCTGTTTAATTTCAGTATTTTCTGCTCTTAAAATGCTTCTTAAATGAATCATTGCTTTCAAGCAAGAACCAGCGGATGTGATAAGGCCCGCGGTCAACATCGACAGGCCTTATCTATCCTCATATTACCCAGACACCCTCTGAAGCAAAACCACCTCCACATTTACTACCTCAGACGTTCACTACAAAACCACTTGACCTTCTCCCCCTTACTGTGTGAAGCGAACACTGAATTTGCTTACTTTTTATGATAATCTACTAACTAGACCATTTTACAGCATTGTTTTCTATTACAGTCCTTTTTGTGATACATAGTGCATTGACTACACTGTAAAAACAGGTTTTAAGTAAAAATGATTGGAGTATGTTTTACAATACTGTAATTTCGTTTATTAGTGAAATTTACTAGCAAACTATTTACTAGTAAACTATTTGGTTAAGCTTAAAATCATACACATACATTTTATTATAGACGTTCCCTATAATATATTGTAATTTATTATATTTTACACATTCCATTAAGCCACCACACCAAAGTCACCGGATTTTATGAAATTTGCATAATCCACTCCTGAAGTTTCATGTTTATACCAGCAGGTGGCGCCCTATAAACTCCGAGCTAATGCTGTTGCAGTGATAGCTGTTGCAGTTAACTTAATTAAGGTACTTGACTTTCAGTCGAATCTGTATGAATTAGATGTATAGCTAATTATTTAGATTATTTGGTGACTAATATAGCCCTCCTAACGCTAAAAGTGTGTCCTGGCAGGTATAAAACAAGATTGAAGTCACCCTGAGGGTTCAGACTGAATCATCCTTCTCTTTAGGCTTCATCAGATTTTAATTAGCTGAAAAAATTACCTCTATAAAACTCATTATCTGATGGGCATCGGGGCAGAGGACACCTGTTTCAAACCTTTAGAGGAAATAGGTACTCGTCTAAGCAAAGACAGAGCCTTGACCTTGTTTGAGACATCTGAGAGCATCCGCTGGCTTTATGGAAAAATGGATTTTAATTATTTTACACATTATATGAGAAGGAAAAACCCAATCGCTCTGAATTTACTGTAGCAAAGCTCTCCAGTGTCCTTCACGAGGATGTAAATAGAAAACCCTCATCAAGAAGGCCTACATAATGTACTTTTTATGATATATAACTATATACCACTCAATAAATGTGTAGCATTTTTAAATAGACCTTTATACTAAATGAAATCAACATCAGTTGGTCATGAGATGATGTTTCGGGTAGAGGTGCACATGACCGTGCTCATGTTTTGGATAAGGGTGTACATGATTGACTTGTTCCAGTTGATATATTCATATGAGTTATGAATGTAGTGAGTTTGGGGCATTCTCATCCACTGAGGTCAGACAATGTTAGGACACGTGTTAACACAAATGGTGGGTAATTACAAATGAAGAGTAGAGCGGGGTCACCCCAAACCACGGCAACCCCTGAACAAGAGGGTTAAGAGGAAACCATTACATGACAACTCACACACAAACATACACACAGGGTCAAGAAGAAAGGCACATGAATGTTGGGTTATGTGTTTTTATTTTAAAATAAGTTTTATTTTAATAGTTTTTTTTTTCTCTTTAAATCTGCAGAATGTTAAAACATCCTCATCAAGTCTGTAAATTCAAAGATAGTCTGGTTTCATTGAAATGACCTCTTTTCTAATCTTTAAATAAAGTTCTTTAATAGACTTAATCTTATATCTGACATAATCTACTTTACAAACCTTACAACATAAACTCATTAAAATGACATGGAGAAATGAAGTTCAGTTTAATTTAAGAGATGAAAATAAAAAAGTCAAAAAAAAAAAAAAATCAGTGCCACCAAGATGCAAAGGAAAGCTTGAAACGGTAAGAAATATGTGATATGTCAGCAAGACAAGAGTCATGACATCATTGGGTTTAACATGAATGGAAAATAATGTTATGGAAGCAGGATGTGTTATGAGTTCTTACAGACATTCTATTTGCACACTTGAGAAAGCAGGAAAAAAATATTCCTATGTATTTTCTTATGTAGCCTACTGCAAGCTGCACTATAACCCTTTGGCACTTTACTAATGTAAGGTCAGCACCTGGTTTAAGTATAATCCAGATTTGTGTCTAAATAATCGACATTATGTGGAAACAAACTTCCCCGGTAGGCTATCACTTCAAAATCTAGCATAATTCCTTACAGGTTATAAAATATGTGTTTTTAAAAAAAAATGGAAACAAGTCTAATACATAATGCTACATGTCTTTTAGCAAAAAGGGCAGTCACATTGGACCACGCAAAAATAACTCCGACAAGGCCTGTCTGAGACGTACTGTAACTTCAGTCCGATTATAACTGAATTACTCTGTCATCATAATTGAACCAAAACGGCCTAAAATATGATTTCATTCCAGCCAATAAAGTATAGATTTAGGGAGGTTTTCAATTAACATTTGTCAAGATTAAAAAGATCCTTGGTGCAGCCTTGCAAGAAGACATAATACATAATAAAATATTTGCTTTCAAATGATCATTATCCTGGTTTGGCATCTGTCTGAATGTAACTCTGAGGTAAACGCACAAAATTCACCTGTTAAGATGGGGTCACATTTACCATTGCTTGACGCGATTTTGCGGGGGAGATCCAGTCATTTTAATAGGAATCTGTGTCAGGGTTTTTGCGTGAGGGTAAAAACTGGTCACGCAAATTTAACACGTTGACCAAAAGAGCCGCTTGGTTTGACAGTGACTTCATACACCGCTACACTATATATGATGGCTCTTTTTGCTAAATCTCGCCAATGTGACCCCACATTTATGCAGATGTGCCTCGTGATTAGATTACTGAGGTGAACAGCTAAGGCAAACATTTAGAAAACCATCGTATCTGGATGTAGCCGAATAGATCGTAACGTTAAACATTAAAAGTGCACTCATTAATTTTTTAGGTAATGTTGCATTGGCGGCCCTCTAGTGGTGTGGATACAGCATCACACATTGTTTACAGGCTGTTATGTAGAAATGTAATTTTCAGCCAGAATAGTGTGAAGTTTAGTGATAATAGGTATAGTAGATTGCCTAAATAAATTGAGCGATATTAGCCGGTCCCCTTGCGGTGACCTGCTCCATGTACAGTTAAATAGCTGTTATAAGGCTCACATCTCATGTGATCATGTCATGTTAACATTTTTGTCTCATCTCTTTGTTTCAAATGTTTTGATTAGGGCAACAATGACTGAGTGCACCTTTAAATCTTTCAGATGGACCTCATGCTATGGCGTATGAAGACTGGAGCTCTGGGTTCATGGTAGTAGCAGTCATGAAAAAGAAGCATTCCACATGAAGACATCAGCAAACACAAGGTGCACAAGAGTTGCTATTTACAAATGCTCAGCAGTAATTCAAGTTTCCAGTTTATAAAAAAAGAGACATATATTACCACAAATAAAGCATAATAACAGCATAAACATATTCACACGCAAATGATCCCATGTATATATTTATATGAATGTAAACATATGTACATATGCATACATATATAAATATATATTTCATTTACATTGATGTTTTTAAGTGTCGTTATGTACATTTCAAGGAGGCAGCAGTTCTTCCTCTTTCCTGTATTTTTCATGGGGAATACATTTGAAGGCACACACAAACGCTTACGCACACTCGCACACACACACATTAACTCATACAAATCCAGGTGTACGTTCCGCATACACACATCTAAACGCTCACACAATAGCACTATCACCAGTCAGCATCCTCCTCTATATAGTAATCAGGGGTGGAAGTACCATCAAACAGGCCCGGATCCAAGGACTTGCGTTGCGATTTTCCCCGGGCAAACACTCGAGAAAGTGAGCCGAGACTCATCTTCTCCTTCTTCTTCTTACGCTTCTGGTCCTCGAGGTCCTCCATGGACTGAAGCAAGAACAAGAAAAGGCAGAAACAGCAAGAGAGGAAGGAGAAGAGAGAATAGAAAAGTAATGGTGGACATATGGGGGCAGGTCAGTCATGTGGTTTCATCAGGAATCTCAGGAATATCTGCACTGCCTCATCAGCACAGCTTCAGGGGTCCACACACTCCAAATTTGGTTTATTTGCACTCTCTCATCCTGGATTATGAGATTTTTCTCATGTAGATCTTGGTGTTTCTATAGCTGCCCAGGGTTGTTAATAAGATGCCACCAGTTAGTTTGCTGGTCCTGGCTGATTTAAGCTGGTCTTCCAGCCTGAGCAGTTGAAAAGTATACCCAAAATCCCTCTAAAACCAGTCAACAGACCACAACAACCAGTCTGGAAGACCAGTTAGGACCTGCAAATCTCTTGTTTTTTTCTTCTAACACATGAAGAGCCTATATTTACTATTATAAAATGGATAGTGTGTCCTTGATGATGATTGGTCACAACAACTGACCAATCCACTGTAAGTTGTGCCACAAAACCTGTCCTTTAGTCATGACTATATTTATAGTATAGCAAAGCCCCTTGTGCCTCATGATGTAAGATCGTTGTATTAAAACATTTTGGTACAAAAACTATTAAAAAATCTCAAATGAAAAGGTAAAAAAATTAAAAATTAAAGCTATTTAAAATTGTTTTCACTAATTGAAATAAAGCTGAAATGTTTTTTTTTATATTGGATTGAAAATTTTAACTTAAAACACATAAGCAGAACTTTTGTACTGGATACTAACTGAAATAAATTTAAGTTGAAGTACTAAAATTACAAAAACTAAAAATGAAAACCAAATTAAAGCTAAATAAACAAAATTGTATATATAATAGTATATAAATTAACATATTTAATACTTAATTAACATGCCAAATGTGCAAAGCGTACTCGGTTCAGGCTTGTGGAGCACAGCTAATTCTCACAGGTACAAATTCTCTCTTTTGGTTTATCTGCATTAACTACCATCAAGACAAAACGGGCCCCTGAAGCCATGCTAATGAGCAGCGCAGGGACTGAATATTTGAGAAGAGTGAAGGTGGAGATAAAAACAAGTTGGGAAGGCTGATTACTTGGTCGGGGGTGCCAGGCAGCTCTTACATTGCAGAGGGAGTGAGTCCTGTGGCGGGGGGAGGTGATGTCGCTCGGGGTGGATGAGCGGTCGCCGTCAGCAGCCGAGGCGTCAGAGATGATGGAGGGCTGGCGGGAGTGACAGGGGCTGATCCTCAAAGCAGCTGCGGTGGCAGGAGACGGGTGTGTGAGTTGGCAAAAAGAAGACATTTGGTGTATCTGAGCATGCGGTTGTGTAGGCCTGCACCTTGCCTGTCCGCGGGGTGCGAATGGTACAGGGTCTGTTGACTCTGTCTGATTGCTGCAGTGAGGGGAAGGTCTGCTTGCATCACCCACTCCTGACTGCCGTTCACCACCGGCTCCGATGGCATCGCCAGAGAGTGACGCTTTGGCACGTCTTTAGTGAGAGTGGCCAGAGACTGCTTTGCCTGGGGTACAAAAACAACACACACACACAAACACACCGTATTGCAGAACCATATAAAATTGGGTCTAAAATTGTGAGACCACAAAGTTAAAATGCTTTGATATTTAAATTTAATAAAAAAAAAATGTTAATTACAAATGATGACATCACAGTATAGGCTTAAAAAAAAAAAATTTTAAACAAATATTTGATAATAAATGTATTTTCTATTCATTGAAGAATACTGAAAACAATCATTGTTTCCACAAAAATATTAAGCAGCACAGCTGTTTTCTCGATTGATAATAATAAGCAATGTTTCTTCAGCTGAAAATTCAGCTTTGCCATCACAAGAAAACATTACAGTTTGAAATGTATTCAAATAGAAAATTTTTAATAGTATTTCACAATATTAGTGTTTTTACAGTATTTCTTAATCAAGTAAATGCAGCCTTGGTGAGCATAAGAGACCTCTCTCAAAAAAATGAGAAGATCTTCATCTTCAGAAAAGAGATCTTCATTTTTAATATATATATATATATATATATATATATAATTATTTAAAGTACTGTTAAATATTTTAAAGTACTGTTAAATATCTCCTAATATTACAACATTTAATATTATAAAACCAAAACTTTGATTAATTCCAGGTTTATCTGGAAAAAGAAAGAAATGTTCAATGTGAACTCAGACGTTGGATGCCCCTGTATATCAATAAAGTTGACATTTTTTACCATCTTTCAGTATCTAGATGTTTAAGCTTATAAAACATCTAACCCCTCAGATCGCTCAGGGTGAAAAACAGTGGATTTCAAAATCTCAGTGGGAGTGAAATCATTAGTACGCTTGAGATGGTGTGTGTGTGTGTGTACTGGTGGGGCACAACAGATTACGCAGACAAAGTGAGTAATGATGCTATTACTGCACTGTTGACAGCCATGTGCCTCTTCATGGGGATTTTTGTGTGACTGCATGAGTCCATACGGCTGTTTACACATCGTACTGCCAATCCAGCAAAATGTAAAATTGCACAATGCAGTTGGGGTTCCATGATCCATCTATGGATCTTAACTGATGAATTTAGAGTCGGATATATCTGCAGTCTGAGCCACTGAGACGTAATTTGAGAGCCTCAAATGATAAGAGACGCAAACCGCCAATAGAGAATGAGTTGAGACTAGATAAGAGGTGTAAGTGTTTATGGCATTGTGGGAAGTGGAAGTGTACGTCTGTGAGAAAGACAGATGAAGAGAGATTCTATCTCACCATAGTGAGCTCTGCCTCCAGCTCTTTGATTCTGTTCTCCTTCATGTCTATCTGGGAGCACAGGACGCTGGCTTGTTCTGTGGCCTCTTTGCTCTGCCGGCGCAAGTCCCATTTCTCTCTCTCCAGCATGTCCTTCTCTTTAGCCAGAGCCTTTACCGCATCCTCACTCTCCTGTAGGGACAGCACACAGTCAGCGTCGGTCCGTTATACATGAGTAACATTCATACACGCTCAAGAAACTGACGATCCATTTGTATGACGATCCATACTGTTGAATTAATGTTTACCTATATATTGCACTAAATGCATAAAAATCATCTTACTGATCTTCAGTTAAACAAGTGATAAAAGCAACACAAATAAATAATACAAGCAAAGATATATGATAAATAGTATATTTGACTGACACTCCTGACAAAAGATCATATCAGCCAGTGCTAAATTAATTTTTCTTTGTAAATCTAAAATGATCGAGTGTAACCCTGAACAACAAAAAAAAGATTAAATAATAATTACAGCACGGTAGGTTTAATGTTGGATTGACAGATTTCATTTTTGAAAGATTATGTCAGAAGATGACGCACATAAAGTGTCAGTGGTGAATTTAATGCACAGGTAATGCATGTCACCTTTCTGTGCTGGTCATAGTTTCTGATGAAGTCTCGGAGCTGCTCTTCTCGGCTCTCCAGTGTGCTGTACAGCTGCTGCATCTGGTTCACCAGGTCAGCCTTTTCTGCCTTCAATCGCTTCCGATCGCCCTTCATAGCTATACACAAACATGCACAATCAGATTCATAAATGCAGTAATAATATTCTCTTTTAGCACATCTTACAAGTATATAAAAATCGGAGTATTTCCTAGATCATAACATTTATATTTCATCATTTTTGCAGTGTGGCTGCAACACAAATACAGGCTTTGTGCCCTTGTATGACACGCGTCTGCGGTTTGTCCTCTGACCCCTATCTGTCAAATAAGAGCTGTAGAAATATAAAATGATGCATTACCCTGTGTGTCCGTGTCTTACTTAAAAATAGGCATTCTTTATTGTTGGATTTAAGTCTTTTGTTTTATTATTATCACTAGCATAAATAAAAACTGTGCGTTGTAGTTAAAAATAGTGCAGTGCACTGCTCAAAACAGCCTCCAGGGGGCACCATGCTCCACTAAAAACATCCCGCACGGAAAAAAGACATTTGTGTTGTTTGTTATAAAATAATTAACAGTTAACACAAATGCATTCAAGTTTTAATTTGAGAGGAGTGTGAGGCGTAACACCTCATAACAATTCAATATCTTTTATTAACATTTCATTTAAGAGTGCTCAGGCTTGTTCTCTTGCAGCTTAAACAAAGTAAATCATTTATTTTACTTGAGGCAACTGTCTCTATCCCCCTCAAACTGAAGAAGGCTTCTCATTCCACAGTCAAACCCGTTTTTCCACTATAATTCGAGAGCGTTGACATTCATGAGAACACATGCACCCTGCCACCCATCACTTCTCCCTCTCTAACCCATCTTCTCTTTACTCCACAAGGACCAAAATGAGCCAAATCCGGTTTAGTTTGCTGAAAACTGTGCTTGACGCAGTCTGTCGTGTGTGGAATATTTTTAATAAACTGGCAGGTTGCTTCCAACTCCTGTTTAAGTACTACAGGTGTTACATTACAGACTAAATGACAAGTGTCAAGTAACACAGTTGACCTAGTGTAAAGTGTGTCAAAACTGAGTGCAGGGTGTTCAATGTACAGGAGATCTCTTTTAGAAGTGTTGAAGAAACATTAGATAATATTTTGACGTGATTCCTTTTAGATACTTTGGTGAACACTGTGATATCTGAGACATGTACAGACTAAAATATGATGTCATGGTTTGCTGTATATTGACAGCTGCTGTTCTGTTAATGTAACTCTAGCCTTGAGACACAAAATAATTAACTGTTTAACTGGCTGAAGTTATATGTTAAAGATATTTATTTAAAAACATTAATATAAGAATGTCAATACATTAGATAACAAAATATTAAACAAAACAACACTTGTTTTTAAGACAGCACCAACACGTTTCAGGTGAAACATTTTACAAAAGGAGATTAAATGGAGTGCAAATATAGACTTTCTTCTCAGATTGTTCTCCTGAGAAAAATGCAGGTTATCTAGATTACTAGGACGTCTAGGGTGTCATCTCGTGTGATTCAGAAGAGCTCAACAATGTCTTAAACTGTGCTTAGTATTGTCATGATACCAAAAGTCTGAGATGATTTTAATATGATATATTTCCATTGAGTAAATTATTTGTTATGCTAGCTGCATTCATTTTATCATCATGAAATCGGAAATCATTCTAATATACTGAATAAGAAGAGAATTATATATAAATATTTTCTTTTGATCATCTTAATGCATCCCTGCTGAATAAAAAATAAACATAGTGCTCCAAACTTTTGAGCGCATATAAATTGATCATCACTTTACAGCTAAAACAAAATAGTTGCCATGACACTTTTATACGTCAGCAGCACTTGAGTTTACTGCTGTCATAAACCACATTTCAAAAACCCTCTCTTCACACTCCATTCTGAAAGCACCTCCAGCTCACACTGCAGGAACGCACTGATAAGACACACTTCTGAACGAATGACGTTATATATCAAAACCCAACTCTTTCTTCCAGTGCTTATGTCCTCTGTTTATACAAGTCTCTCAAATACACTAAAAGAGCATTACACACCAGATAAACAGATAGCAGATAAGATAAGCTACACACACACACACATGTCTGGTCTCACACACACACACACACACACACACACACGTCTGGTTTGCTATCCTTGTGGGGACTCTCCATAGGCGTAATGCTTTTTCTACGGTACAGACCGTATATTCTATCTCCCTACACCAACCCTACACCTAAATCTACCCCTCACAGGTAACTTTCTGCATTTTTAGATTTTCAAAAAACTTAATTCTGTGTGATTTATTAGCTTGTTTACCCGTGGGGACCTCAATTTTAAAGTATCTGGTGACAGGTAGAAAAGGCATCTATTATGCTCTCAACTGAAATACACGCCTCACACATACTTGAAAGTTCTCTTTTGATGGCATTTCTTTCATCTTTAAACTGTTTTCCATCCTCTTCACAAACAACATCAGTAATACAGCTTTATACTATGCTTTATACAGAAAGATAAAAAAACATACTATGTAATTTTATAATCATACATTTTATTATTATTATTAGTTTATTAATAGTAATATGTGTGATTATTATAAGATTTCATAAATACATATTACATTTTCTATTAGGGCTGGACGATTGATCGAAAAGTAATCGAAACCGAAATTCAGAACCTCTAATCGACGTAATTTTGTCCACAGTTTTTTTTTTCTTCTTCAGTTTTTTCAATCCTGTTAATACTTTCCCCAGGGTTGCCAGGTCTGCGAAAGAAAACAAGCCCGATTGCTATTCAAAACTAGACCAAAACTACCCAAGTGCGTTTCCCCCCGGAGATTTCCCCTGTCAAAATCGCACTAAGATCGCTTTAATTAAAAAAAAAAAACGGACTAAAAAACTAACCGCGGCAGCAGCCCAAATTGGAAACCCTGACTTTCCCCTTAAAAACATACTACAGCATGTGTAGTCACGTAACTCCATCCGTCAGCGGCATGGAAGCAACATAGAACTGCTTTTTACAGATTTTTAATGTGAAAATATCCTTTTTACATTCAAACTGAAACTTTTTTCATAAGACGTTTTGATTGCAAGAAATGTGTGCTTTGATTTCAATTGTTCGAAATACTATATATAACCATAAATAGTTTGTTTCCTTCAATTATTTTAAAATCACAAAGATAAGAAATGCACAATTTCATTAGAAAAAATATCCCATCTTTAATAGTTTAGCATAACAGAAGCAAATAGAATAATCGTTCATTAATTTTAATCAAGGTAATATGTTCAGTTATTTTGATTTTAGGTCAGATCGTCCAGCTCTATTTTCTTTCTTTCTTTCTTTTTCTTTCTTTCTTTCTTTCTTTCTGTGAAAATACTTGGTGCTGTAATGATGCTCTATGTAACATTTTTGAAGACAAATTAATTTTTACACTTTATTGATTTGTATTGAATTGCAACTTGATACTTGCTACTTGAGTCTATGTAATTGTAACTAGGATAATTTTTTGTAAATAAAAGCTTTTGTAAATTCTTTCTTTCTTGTAAACTAGTCAACCTCACTTATCGACTAGTTACATAGTTGGATGCCCACCATGACCCATCTCTATTACTGAAACAATGATTTTGAGTAAACTCGGGCAGTATTGATGTGTCTAGGGAGAGTGAAGCGCTTCAACAGCACACAGGGGGGATTTCTCTGGTAATCCTGCAATATTGGCTTTGTGATTGGGGTTCAGACCTTGTAAGGCCTCCTTGGCACGTTCCAGCTCCTGCTCTTTCTCCCCCAGCTGCACCTTGAGCTCGGCGGCAGAGAGTGTGTCGGCCGAGCAGCCGCCGTGCGAGTCCTCCAGGTCTTTACTCAACATGTCCTTCATCTGCCTGAGGAGGTGCACCTCCTCCTGCAACTGAGCCACCTCCTCCCTCAGCAACACTGCGGGAGAAATCCAGAGAGACGGCGATAAAGAAATCACTTAGTAACAAGTAGCTCTCAGCAAGTCTTCTGTTTTGATGCTACATATTATTTTTTCCATGTGGCCAGCAGGCTAAGAGGAAACAGCATAATTATGACAAACAAAGAGTGGCTGTTAAGATTTTTTTTATTTCTCACTCTTAAACAATGCTATCTTTCATCCCTTTTTAATCACAGAGAAGCAGATCACATAATAAAAAAGCAGCATTCAGATCTGGAGGGGGTGAGAGACAATTTCTATGCCATTTCCAAGGCTCTTTCATAGAATCAAAGGAGTTAGAGAACAGACACATTAGGAATGAGAGCGAAACCACAGCATCAAGAGCGGGACACAGGCCCACTTAAAGCAAAACAGTGCTAATTTGCAATATATCAACAAATACACAAGCAAAACTGTTAATGCATTGAGAGACGGGAAGCTGAGAGGACAAAAATGTTGCAGAGCCTTTTTTAATGAGCGGAAGAGTGTTGCCTACTTTGCCTTGAATGACAAACAAAAAAAAAAGCAGCCCATATCTCAACCCTGCACAGAGAGTGCCTATAAACCAGAGCAAAGCTGATTGAAGGACTTTCAGAAGCTCATGTGGTGACTTTCTGTTGTCAACATTTCAAGTCTTGTCCCTTTAATGTGGCGGAAATTTACAGAACATCATCGAGTCGCGAAAGTAAGCCGAATTAGCCGAGCTGCCAGTCAGGTGCGCTCTGCCTCTGCTGATATACACTCAGTAAGTGAATAAATTAAACAGAGGCCTTCGTTCAATGTACTCTGCATTACCAGGCAACAGCTGCGACATCAATCTTTTTCAAGGGAAACGAGGGAGCATATCAAGTCATAGAATTCAATTAACTGTAAACTATAATGCACCCACGCTGCAGCCTGGACAATGAAGGCCTGGCTGGGATAAAATAAATCTACAGCACTTATCAAGAGCAATCAATACAGTTAATGAGGTATTTTGCTTGGAGTGCAACACGGTAATGTAGAATTCATCCCACCAGGCATGTCATGGTTTTGTATGTTTTTTTTTCTTTCTGCTTTTGAGTGGCAGTTGCAGTCCTGGGTGCATAAGACACAACAACAACAACAAACACTTCTAAACAAAGTAGCAGTTAATTCTAGAAATGTAAAGGGTTAGTTCACCCCAAAAAGAACATTTTGTCAATAATTACTCACCCTCATGTCGTTCCAAAACCTTAAGACCTTTGTTCATTTTTGGAACACAAGATATTTTGAGTAATTAATGACATCATTTTCATTTTTTGGGGTGAACTATCCCTTTAAAATGTTTTATTCCTTTGCTCAAAAACATAATATACATGTTTTTTTCTGATAATAAATTAATATATATTACTAAAAATGCATGAATAAATATTAATAAAACATTAAATGCATTAATAAATTATTAATAATAAAAAATAAAAACAAATTATTAAAAAACATGTCATTTGTAAAAAACATGTCATTATTTCCATAATTAATCACACCAAATTAATGTGTAAAATCAACAGCCCTTAAATATTTTAATAGTGTGTATATATTTTTATGTAATTTAACAGAGCAGTTTATTAATCAAAGATGTAATTGTTTTGTAAGTTGTATTTAATTGCAGGGTGCATGTGCCAGCTGACTCTGTGTGAGTGCAGTAACCACTGATACCTCACCTCCACTTTAATGTGACATGAGAACACTCGATGAAAGCACTTCCAGATAAAACTGACAATTAAATCACTTAAACCACTAGTGTCGCAATTCGATAGCGGATGTTTGGAAGCGATCCCACTCTTAACGTGCGAGACAGAGAGGGGGCCGGCCGTGAGTAGAGATAGCACCAGGTGCTCCAGGCATTTCTTCAGCAAGCCGTTGACAAGGTGAGCATCTGCAGCACTGCTGATAAGACAGAGACGGGGGCAACCCATTGGTCAGTGCCCACTACCAGGGAGAGCCAAGCAGCCGGGTTTCAACATGGCACAGGAAGCTCCTTTTCCTGGTAAGTGTCATCTTTCATGCTGTCGCGATGGAGACCAAGGCCACTTATTCATTTGTTTAACTCAGCGGAGACTTATTTGGGGCAGTGGGTCCAGCTGTTGTCCTGCTTTGAGCCCCAGCACAAACACAGAGCTTTGGCTTACTACCAGTACTTGTATGAGAACTATGTAGCTTCTGCGCTCTAACAGCAGTTCTGCTGCTCTGTGCCAAACTTGGGCTGAGAGTGCAAAGAGTATGAATCATAAAATTACACATGTATGAATCATAAAAATCATACAAATCCTTCATGTTAAACCACACATTTTGCAGCAAACACACACCAGTGTCAATCTCTGAAAATTCAAAAATCATGGGATAAAAAAGGTTCTCTCAACAACAAACAACATACTAGCCATTGATTGAATCAACACTGATCTCTGAGATGCTGAAATATACAAACAATTCCGTACAGTTTTATTTATTCTTAGTGTTCCCAAGATACAAACAAAGCAGCAGACCACAACACTTCTTGAGGATATAAAAGAGGTTCAGAAAGAAGTCAAATGTTGCGTCAGAGACAAATGTCAGAATAAAAAACAACTCAATGTTTACTACTGCGTGCGATCTGGGAAACTGCACATTTTGACAAGGAATGGCCATTTGCAAAAGGAAATACAGGCACATTACAACCAAAACAAACAATACAACTCAATTAACTTCAATAAAACCTGTGTAAGATAACCCAAACACTGATTTGAGTGAAATTATTTTATAAATCCAGTGTATTATCTAAATGTCCACTAATCATTGTTGTTATTGTTAACCAAAACTAAAACTATTAAAAATTGTCTTTGGTTATTGAAATATAAAAAAAATAAATACAAGATGAAAAACTAAAAAACATAAATTAAAATGATAAATGATACTAAAATGAACTGAAATAAGTACAGTACTAGAATTACCAAAACAGACAAAAAGTTACATAGGTCATTATAGGTATTTTTCACTATGATAACTAAGATGCAAAATAGCGTTTTTATGAAATACAAAAGGAAGCGAGTCCATGGTGTGATACAAGACATAAAGTAGCAGTGGTTTTAGTTACCCAGATGAACGGACTGATGCACAGCATTGACATGAACGATAAAGAATATTAGGAAACATCTGACTGCTGAATTGATCAATCAGAATGAAGTATTTCAGAGAGTATTTATGTAATAAAATAAATTAAGTAAATAGTGTTTATTTGAAGAGGCTGATGAGTCTGCACTCACAGGGTTGTAAGAAATCTCATCAGAACTTCATGAAAGGAGAAAGTGTCTTTGGGTCTTTATGCTCTAAGAACTGAGGTTGATATACACAAAAGCAATCAGGCCCCTAATTCCCCAAAATGCAGTGTTCAATCGATTCGCACTGGTGTCATGTCTCCTTCTCACTTATCATCTCAAGAGCCAAACTAACCGTGCACTTCTTTGCTTTGCAGCCTCAGTGTGAAGACAAATCGAAGAAAAACTAAGTCAAAAAGTAGTTATGGATGAGTCTGTATACAGCACAATAAAGCTACATTTTTCAGCTGGAAAGCTACTAAACTTTATTTTCTAGATTAAATTTTTATCAAGTCTGTTATTCAAACTAGAATCAAGAAGAATCAAATCGATGCAAACCACTAAATACTTGTTTAACTTTAATTCCATCACACTCATAAAAAAGAAAATGATTTAATTTAACAGGCTAGTAAAATCTCAGTCACATTGACGCTGCTGTCTGGTGCCACATAAAACGATGACAATAACCAGCTATATAAACTTTGCAGCGGCAGCAATATTTTCTACTGCATAGATTGTCTTTATCTGACAGTTTTTGGCCTGCGGTTCTGCGGTTTTGTGATAAAGCATTTTGTAAAGGGCTGAACTCCAGAATGCATGTTTCAACGGATCTGCAGACAAGTTCTGATGTATAACCACCTCCATGAAACTCACAAACAACCTGTAAATGTACCTGGGTCCTTAGGCAACTCTAAAAAATGTCCTTAAAAGGAGTTAATCACAGAAAATATAGCACAAGAGGAAAAACTAAGCATTATTTGTAGCACAGAAATCAATCATTGAGTTGGTTCTCTAAAAACAAAGTGCATCTTTACATGAAGTTCTGGGGTCCCGATGGCCCTAAAAGACTTCTAACCCAGATTAGACCACATAAGGTCAATGATGGAGCGGTTGCAGGTGTCTCCAGGCTCTGGCACACTTTCCAAATCTCAAGGGACGGCTGGATTCATGGAATGATCCAGATATTAAAGGGCCATTCTTAACGCAATGGATTTTGCATGCAAAAAGCCTACTGAATAAAAAAGATCCACAGTTTGTGTCAAAAAACAAAGGTTTTACTAATTAAACAATGTACTACAGAAACATTTATTACCATGGATTAACCATGAATCAACTAAGGATTTACTGTGACTGTAAGGCCAAATAATCTATTATTAAAAATGTAAAGCATTTCCTCTAGACATGCTTTTCCAAACTAGCTCTGATATTACTGTCTAAGAGCTCTAAACCCTGAGGTTACATTTTGGGAGTTTTTGGGGAGAGTCCATGACCATGAAGCAGCAGGGGATTTCACTGTGAGCCGCAGTGCTTTTAATCATTGATTAACCTGAGTGAGCAGCATGCTGTGGAGAGTTCAAAAAAACCTCTCGCTCCGAGCCTGTGTGAGTCAGAGAAGGTGAACCGATAAAACACAAAAGAGAATATCATTAAAGTGGATTATTCCAATTCCACACTATTCAATCGCATTCTTAAGGTTCTCTTTGATTTCGGCTTTTTCCTTTGAGATATCATGATCAGTGCAAAGGAATGTTTCATCACATACTTTCTTTTTCACCACTTATTTTTTTTATTTTATCCTTCGGAGCACAAGTTCACAGCAAATACAGGAGCTGTGTGGTATGCATCCCACATGTATGAGAAGCAGTCTTCGGGGAGGTTTGTGTTACAGT